CCTTCTGTGCGTCTTAGGGAGTATTTACTCAGGATGCTTTCCTACACCTCAAGTCTGATAAAATGTCCTCTTCCTATCCCCCACATCCCCCTAGCATCCTATATTCCCCCATCAGAGCCTTTATCAGTCTCTACTGCAGGGACTTTTTGTCAGTACCTCCTGCTTGATTGCAAGCTTTGTGCAGGCAGGAACCACTCTGCCTTGTCCACCACTGTGACCCCAGGACCTAGCACAGCACCTATTGAACAAATGTCAGGAAGGCCCAGGGTCAGGGACCTGACTGTGAGGAAGAGCAGCCTTGCCTGGGGGTGGTGGAGTATAGGGTTGTGCTTGGAGTTGTCTCTTTCCTCTCCTCAGGAAATGATCCAGATGAACACTGTCTTTGATGGAGAAGCCAGAGACCCAGGTAATGAAGCAGTGCCACCCATAAGGGCATTGTTCATATTCCAGGCCAGTGGAGTCCTAGGGACCCTATCCAGTGTCCTGTTCAGTCTTTCCATCCATCTGGTAGTGATGCCTATGCAGTGCTGACCTACACTGCACGACAACGTGGATCAGCTTGGAACAGAGCTGGCTTGCAGATGCATGTGATCACGTGGGCGGCCTCAGAAGGTTTCCACCTAAAGGCTCCCACTCATGGACCACACCACTGTCCAGACTCCCTTCCTAAGTCTCAAACCAATTCAGGGAATTGGTGGATTCAACAACCCACTTTTTTTTTTCCTGCTCACTTGGACTCAACGCCCCCCCCACCGCCGCCCCATCCTTTCTGAATGCTTCTAACACATCTTATGGGGAGTGAGAGAGATGGAGAAATGGCAAGCTTGGCTTCTTTTCTTCCTAGATCAGGGCCAAGAATTTCTTCTTGGTCGGCAAGATGAACATAAGGTAGAACTGGCCTCCAGAGCTCTCATCACCCCTGTGAAATCAGCTCCAAATTTAGCTCCTTTACCCACATCCCTTTGCTTACAAAGGCTCAATTATAGACGTGAATAAAGGGAAGGAAACCAAAATCGGGAAGCAAGTGTGCTGGCTCCCTGCCACCCTCACATACGAACGGCTCGGTCCTCCTCGGAAGGAGGATGGCTCCTCTCCAGGAGAGGCTGCTGCTGCTGCTGGAATTCAATTTCCCTCTATTATTAGGTACTTGTTACCATAATGTGCCCACATTTGCATAAGTGCTGGTGGGATCCTCTGCCTGAGAGGCCACTCAGGCTCTATGGAAATGGCAGGAGCAGGAACACGCCAGAAACTAGATCTTCTGGGGCAAAAGCCAGGGAGGACTGAGGCGGTTCTCCTGCGCCTGTGTGTTTGAGAGAAGGAAAAAGGGGAGGAAGGAGCCAACTGGACTAATGTGAACAAACATCAATTAGCGCTGCTGGCTCCGACACAGTCGAAACGGCTCCCTTGCCTCGTCCCCACTAGGGCCAGATGGGTGTATCTGTGTCTGCAAATCTCTGCTAACATAATATAAAAAAATCAAAGTCTTTTCCTCCTCCCTCGGTGAATTCCTGTTTCTATCAGGGATTCAGAGCTTTTTTTTAAACAGACAAATCAAAACATAATGAGTAAACCCTGTTAGAAACTGAACCAAATTTATCCGAAGCTCACATTGAGTTCAAGACTTATGTGGCCTCTAATCTGGCCATTGAGGTGACCAGGAGCCTCTCTTAAACCTTTCTTTCCAGGGATGCGTGCTACCTGTGTGCTCAGGGCTGCAGAAAGGGCAGGCTGGTGAAGACTGATTTTCACATCTTTTTTCGGCTTTCTATCTTTCCAGCTGCTTCCTCTTTCCCTGGGGGTGAGAAGAGAGCGGGGCTGAGTTGGGCGAGCAGAGCCTGGTTTGGATTCCTTTGTTTATATAGTGGTTGTATTTTTTTCCCCTAGTTACCGGGAGAATCTATGAATTCAACTCAAAAACTGGAGCCAGAAAGTGGAAAGATCCCTCAACCCAAATGCCAAAATGGAAAGAGGCCAGCCCCCGGGGAGCTGCTCCAAGAAGACCTGTCGCTGGGGTCGGGACGGGGACACCGAGGAGCATCGACGAAGAAGGAGCTGGGCTGAGTGGCCAAGGGTGGGCTGAAGACGCAGGTCCGGGCTCCAGGAACCAGGATGGTAGGCTGAACACCCCAAAGGACAGAAACCTAGTCCTTACCAGCCAGACATCCCCCAAACCGCACCCAGGAAAGTGAATCGTATCTGGTTGCCGGACCTACCACACAGCACCAGGGGGCGCTTGACCATCTGGGATGCTGCCTCACCTACTCTCTGCAGGAGGGAGCGTGGGGGGCGGAGGGTTGAAAACGTGGGAGATTTTCCAGGGTTCTAGGTGGAATGTTTGACAAAGTTTAAATTAAACAGAAAGAGGTTGAATCGCAGAGTTGCCTTTTTCTGAGATGGCATAGGAGAAATTTTACTCAGGTCTCTGTGCGCCTGATCAGCTGGACTATTTGTGAACTTGCGGAAGCAGAATGGTGTTTCTTCTTCACATTGACTGCTGGGAAGCTCCATTCTGTTCACCCCTAGCAAGTGCATGGGGGCTCCTGACTCAATTCTGGCACCTGGTTTCACCTTATTTTCCTGCCTTTATTTCAGTGTCACCCAGATTCCTTCACCTATAAATACAATTCAACACCACACACCATTGTCAGTCACCTCAAATCCTTTTCAAAAGAAGCAGAGCAGTGGGGAGAAAAGGATGAATAAATAATGAGTTTTCATCTGGGAAGAAGAAAACACACAAGATACTTTTCTTTCTCATTAAGGTGAAACTGATATGCAGTAAAGAGCACAGAACTAAGGCATTCAGCTCCATCCTGTGCAGACTCTTCCCAGAGGCAACCACTATTCTGGTCGTTTTCGCCTTGGATTATGAATTTCATATAAATGGGATTCCACAAAATGTACTTTTTTGTATCTGGGTCTTTTTGCTCAGCATAATGTCTGGGAGATTCATCCAGTTGGACTGTAGACCAGACGTCCAGGGCTCTTCACTCTGTGTCTTATCCCATTGTGGGAATCTACCACACATCATTTATGTGTTCCATACTGGGGCGGCGGAGTGGCTGCTCCCAGCTTGTCACTGTTGTAAATTATGGCACTGTGAACATCCTTGTACGTGTCTTTTGGTAGCATAAACACTCGTTTCTTCTGAGCATATTCCTAGGAGGGGGATTGCCAGAGCCATTGCTGGAATCTGCTGAGAATTCCGAAGTTGGTGGCTCCAATTTCCACTTCCACCAGCAGTGATGCAGAGTTCCAACTGCTTTACTCCCTTGCCAACACTTGTTGTTGTCATCCTTTTAATTTTAGCCATCTGGTTTAAAGTCCTCTTGAAATAAAGTCATTCTTTCTCTCTAAGCTAAAACAACACCATCCCTGTAATGTACCCACCCTGCTCCTTCCCTTTCCCCTATGACGGGGGAAACCACAGCGAGTGAAAACACAGTGGGAAGCCCTATCCATATGACTAGGACTTTAATCTGTGGGCGTGAGCAATGAACTGAAAATAAACTGCACCACCATGGAACAGGAAACGGGACTTGGCAGGGTTTGCCTGGTGGAGGCTGAGCCATTCTCACCTTAGCTCCATGCCCTGCTCCCCAGCTGGCCCTAGTCCAGTAACCACAAGAAAGGACCAGGCAAGAGTCTACAGAAGCATCACCCCCTTTCCCAGGTGGGGAGCCAGATGAGAACCCACAGGCCCAGGATGGTCTGCAAGGGCAGAACTTGGGAGGGAGCAGCTGCTGGTGTATTGTGTGCCTGTGTGATGTCTCAAGAAAAACAAGCATTTAAAAAAATGCCCTGGCCTGGCCTGGAGCAGGCATGATTTATTAATAAGGGTTGGTTGCCAGGGAACTCCCCTGAATAGGTTTAAATTTTGCAAAAGAAGGCAGAGCTGCTCATTTGTGGAGGTTAAGTGGGTGAAGTGGCTGATTCCCCATTTAAGATGCCATGCGTCTGTGGAGCCACGAGTCAAATGCCTTCCTCAGAAGCTCTCAGCCTCAATGCAAATAAAATGAGGTTCAGAGAAGGCTGAAGGGGGTGCCTAATAACTGTTTATGAGCCCATTAAGGATGATTAAAAGGGGGGCGGTGAGCAGCTGTTCTCCCTTCTCCAGTGATGACAGGGCAGGAGGGGATGTACTTCTCGGCCAGGAGAAGAGATTTCAGTTAGGCACAGGGAGGGACTTCCCGGAGGCTAGGATCTGCTTGAAGAGACACTTCTTTCCCTGGTGACGAGGAGGGAGAGCTGTCTGTCTTCCAAACCCCAAAATGTGAACCCCGAGGAACCCAAGATGTGGGCCAGGAGTGATCCAGGAAGCTTCCACCCAGGGAAACGGCCTTTTCTTCTGCATATTTGACTATTTGATTAGGGGAAATCAAAAGCCGCAAATCCAGGGCTGAGGCCATTTGGTTTCTAACATTTACCAGGTTTGAAAAAAAATTATCTCAATAAAATGAAGCCAGAGACCATTGTGGACCTTGTAAACGTTTTCTCACAGTTCTCTCCCAAGGCCTTAAGCACGTATGAATTTATTGGAGCTAATGTTGTCTTGCCTGATTCTGAGTCATTGAAAATTGAGGCAAAGATGCGCAGGGATCAGACCACGGAGGGATAAGGAGGGATGTGGAAGCCGTGGTGAATTCTGAGGTTCGAGCTTTCCTCGTACTCAGTAGGAAGCAGGGTCCACATGGCTGTCCACCTGTGTTAAAGGTATGTGTGGCTCGTGAACAGAAACTCACTCCTTAGAGCCCTTTTTCACATCTGTCATTCTGTCGTTTGCCTTTTTAGGTCATGTGTTTTATGATGGCTGAGAAGATTAAAGCAACCAAGTGAGAGAATCTAGAACATGATGGCTGTTGAAACTTGACGCTTCTCAATTCAAACGTGCTGTGTGTGTTTATACCTCCCACTCATTCAATAAATGTTTGTGGAGTGACTCCCAGGTGCCGGGTGCTGGCTCATCCCTAAACACAGCAGCCCCAGATCCCTGCCCCTGAGGAGCTTACATTCTGTCTGCTGGGGCCAAAGGCAGCCTTCAGACACGCCGTCCCCAAAACTTCTTTTTCCACGTCCATCCTGGCCTATTTGTTTCTTGGTTCCTTGAGTGTTCTATCTGAAAGATAAATTACTCCAAGCTGGGAATCTCCTTTACTGGAAAAACAGATATTTCAGAACCACTTCAATGTTTTTTTTAAACTTAGTGGGGAGCCCTTGTCAGAAAATAGTTGAGACGCCCAACTAGGGACCCCAGGGGTTACCTGGTCAGTATACTGCTTATAATCTCTGAATGGCAGCTCTGAGCCAGCTGTGACTTCTGTGGGAAGAAGGTGGAAGTTTCCTGAGGCCTCTGAGACATTTGATCTGGAGCTCAGGGAAAACATCAAACATAGGATGGGGTAGGGGGTCGGGGAGAGACCCAGATTGCTGAGAACCTACGATGCATCACCTGTATTGGGGGTGAGATGTGGCTCCCACTCTAGAGGAAGAATCCAACTGGGAAGATAACCAGCTCTTTGAAAAGACAACCAACCACCCCCTAGGTCCTGTATGAGAAGCAGATGAGTGTCAGAGTTGGTGAGTGATGGAGAAAGCAGATGTGGGCCACAGCCATCTCTGGAAGGGTGATAGAAGACCTGAACACTGAAGGGGTTGTAAAGCTGGCTATGAGCTCAAAAGGCTCAAGGCTCAGGATCCTGTTTGTCAATCAATTTTCGGCCAATGCTTGTTCGGTGTAACCTGGAGTGCATAACACCAGCCCTACACGGAGCCTCCTGGGTGTGCAGCAAGCACTCAACAAACATCTGTAGAACTGGGTTGAATTAAGCAAGCTGGCAGGTGGTTTTCTACCCAAGTCATGTAGCAGAGTTGCAGCATTTCTAATTAGATCTAGACAGATATCGTGATCAACAACAAACAGTTACTGACTACGTACTAGGTCCCAGGTGCTGTTCTAGGCTCTAGGGATAGAGCAGTAAATAAAACAGTGTTCTTAGTGTTCACATCCTAGTGAGGGATGTGAGGCCGAATATACAAACGGACGATGGCAGGACCATATATAAAAAGAGAACTCGCACCTACAACCTGCAGCAACCTGCCTGGGAAACCAACCCCCTTATCTTACAATAAACAGCCCAGGAAGCCAGGCTGCTGTCAGTCAGTCAGACTTGCAGGAAGCTGCATTGCTGTTTCTAGTAACAATCCAGGAAGCTAAACAATAACTTCTGTAACAATCAGCCCCAAATGGCCAGGACTTGATTAGTAATAGGCAGCTTCCCTAATTCTTATCCCTGCTTCCAATCTAGGACCAACAAGAGAAGGTAAAATACCTAGCATTGTATGCACCCCCTCTGGGAGCCCACCTGCAGCTTCCCTCCTGCCCACCGCCTCCAAGCAGAGCACGCGAGCCTCCTCCCCTTTGTTCCGATACAAAGCTTTCCCACCCCTGTCTGCCTTGGAGTCTCTGCCAAAATGGGAGTGATGGTGGCTGACTTGCTTGCTATAGTAAGGTATGAATAAATACACTTTGCTTCTTTCATATGGTTGGCCTTTGTATATTTCCACAGGAGTGATAGATAAATGAATTATATATGTGTGTGTATATATATCATATGTACACACATCTCATATATGCATATACCATATGTATATATATCTCCTATGTATGTATTGATGTGTTAAGGGTGGTAAATGCTGTTGAGAACAATGAACAGGGTCAGGGATATGCAGGGTGGGGGTGGCCGCTTTAAATAGGGTGATCAAGGAAGACCCCATGATAAGGTGAAGTCAAGCAGTGGAAGTGGGGAAACAGCCCCCAGGCAGACAGTGCGAAGGCAAGGCCAGGTTGAGGATCAGCAGGAGGAACAGAGTGATGAGTGTGAGGACAGGAGGAGACGTCTTCGCCCAGGTGTGTGTGGGGACGTGGGTGTGTATCGGGTGGCAGGGGTGGTTGGGGATGTGTAGTCTGTGGACGTGTACGGTGAGGGGGTGGAGGATGGAACGCTCATCTTGTAGGCCTTTGTAAACCATGGTAAGGACTTTGGCTCTTACTCTGCCTGTGAAGGGGAGACGTCGCTAGGTTTGGGCAGTGACCTATTTTCTGTTTTAAGAGCATCTCTCTGAGTGCTGATTTGAGAATATTCTTCAGGGCGGCCGGGAGCAGGGGTGGAAGTAAAGAGACCAACAAGGTGGCTATTGGACTAATCCAGATATG